TTACATTAACACTGCACTAGGAAAAATTACAAAAAACAAAAATGTATTTTGTTACCAAATTAAAGCTTAGGGTAGACTATGTAGCACCCTCCTAGGTAGCTAGGGGGGGGGGGGGGGGATAAATCTTCAATTGTTAGAGGCTGAGTAGCAGCCTATGAAATAGAGGGAGGTCAAATCAGGTCAGGGCTGAGAGGTTCTGCAGACCAGTCCTCTGGAATTTCCCCCTGCTCTAGGACTTTGGAGAAACAAATGGAAGCAGTGGGCTGAGATGAGGAATGGCTGATCTGCACTTTTGTAGGATCCTGAACAATCCCTAACAGGAGGTTTGGCATGGGGCTAGGACAGCCCTTAAAAGTGACAGAGTCTGCTCAGCAACAGGAGAGTTCAGGTGAAAGAGAACTGAGAGGCTGGAGAGCAGGAGCCTGGGAGGGGGCCCAGATGTGAAAGGGTTCACCTAGAGCGAAGACCACCCATGCAGCAGGAAAAGAGTGACACAGAAGAAGGCCTGAGAGCAGCCACCGACTTCTCTCATAAGAGAAGGACTGAGTGAGTAGATCTGCACTCCCTGGGCCACTGAGGGGTAGGAGTACGCTAGTGGGAAACTGGATTAGCTGATACCCAGGACTGTCTTACCCTTAAAGTGACAGGCACTGGATCCCCTGTCCTGGGATTCACCCTGAACAGCTGGATAGAGGAGTATCTAGGGTCTGGGGTGGTACAACAGGAGATGCTGGCTAGCTCTCCAGAAGAGATTTTTTGCTGTAAAGACTTGTATATAATTCTAGGAAGTTTGTCTTCTGTTGCCATCCCCTTGGGCATCACATACACCCCTTACCCCATCCAAGTTGAATTCCCCTAATAAAATCCCAAAAAAAACAGCTCAAGAATTGGTTACTGTCTCCTGAATGCAAGTCTGTGTGGAAAATGCATTTGCCTGGCCGTGCAGGACTAATGGCAGACCCAAAAGTCAGCAACTCCTACAGGGGTAGTGCTAAAACTACAAATGCTAAATGTTATGATGTGTGAAATTGACAGATTGTTCATATAAAATACAGGCATACCTCAGTTTACGAGCGCCTCAGTTAACCTAATTTTCGGTTTACAAATGAAAATCCATTGAACATAAGACCTAGGTTTACAAATTTTTTTCGCAATACGAATGGATTAATTGGTTTTTAATCATGTCCCTGTACAGTACTATGCCTTTAAAGTGCACTTTATAAAGAGTTTTGAACAGATGAGACTTTTTTTTTTTTTTTTTACTTTTTTCTGACCTTCGGAACTGATTAATTGGTTTTCAATGCATTTACAAAATTTTTTTTAATCGTATCCCTTTATGCCTTTTAAGTGCACTTTATAAAGAGTTTTGAACAGATAAACTTTTTTTTTTAAACTTTATTTCTGACCTCCGAAACGATTAATTGGTTTTCAATGCATTCCTATGGGAAACCGTATTTCGATTTACGAATTTTTCGCAATATGAAACGTCCCGCAGAGCAAATTAAATGTGTAAACGAGGTACACCTATAGATGCTATGGTACTCAAGGAGGTTTGGGGAAAAACCTGGGGAAAGCTAAATATTTAGGTTGTTTTCTGCTGCGTGTTTTTTTTTTTTTTTTTTCCTTTTATTCTGCTCTTAATGATAGGGAAGGTTTCCCTAAAATATTAAGTAGCACTTATATTTTTACTGCCAGGTTACCTTCAAATAGACATTTTGTGCTGACAATCTGAAGGTTTTTTGTGGTGTTCTGTGAACTTTTCTCCCAACCATGTACCTTGTCTTTTGGCAATTATAAATTGGTCCAAGTGGTTACAATTTTAGATAAATGGTTTATATATATATATATATATATATATATATATATATATATATATATGTGTGTGTGTGTGTGTGTGTGTATATATGTATGTATTTGTGGCAGTGCGGTGTCCTGCCACGGCCAAAAATCAAGCGGAAAAACCCTGGATTCTCAACCAGGCAGTTGAGGGGGCTCCAGAGAGTTGATGTATTGCAGAGGAAACTGGCTTTTCAGTTTCCTTTTATTCATTAAGTCTGTTTTTGGGATCTGGAGCCTGGAGATTTCAAAGAGATCTGGGAGGGATGAAATCTCTAATCCGGGGTCCGTGTTTTGAGAACCCCCACCACACTGATTGCACAGGTGTGTGCAGGCCTTTTTATAGAGTCCTAACCATGGTTCTGGGCTCCACCCCAGCAAACGGAGTCAGGAGGGCTCCACCCCGGCAGATAGGAGTCAGCAGGGCTCCACCCCGGCAGATAGGAGTCAGCAGGGCTCCACCCCGGCAGATAGGAGGTCTCTGCCTTGGAGTCAGGAGAAAGCCAGACTAGCTGTGTGCTAGTGGCCATAAATTTGGGAAAAGTCTGCAGGAGACAGACAGTGAACTGTGTACAAGCCAGGAGGCTGAATCTTTGTTGGTATTTCTTGATGGTGGATACCCCTGCGGGGAAGCATTTGTGTTATTTGAACCTTCTTTGTAATAAAAGTGGGCAAAAAAAGCCTTAAAGAAGCGAGTTGCTGTGTGCTTAAACAAGAAAAGCTCTACCTCTTCCCACACAATATATATATATATATAATATATATATATATATATTTTTTTATTTTTTATTTTATTTTTTTTTTTTATTTCAAAGCCACATGGCTAAGCTGAATAGAACATGCCATAGCAGAAGGCAGTTCTGTCATACACAATTGTGACCTTGGATGGAGCCATCTGGTGTGGGTGGGGTCAGTGCTCTGACATATTTACTTGCATGTAGAAATTTCAGTTTGAGCTACTGAGCTCTGTAAAAAAAACAGGCTTTTAAAACTGTAGCTAAGGAGGGACAGGACAGTGTTAAAAAAACTTAAAAGCTCCATCAACTGACTGAGAACACAAAAGGTTAATATGTATTATGTCATATTTACCTGAATAAACAAATTAAAAAAATATATTTTTTTAGTCCTGACCATAATATAGAAAAAATGATTACGAAAGTATTGTATTCCATTTTGAAGTGGCCCAGTGACCACAGAACTTTGATAGCACAAGAGGAAACAAGCACTTTGCGTATAGCCAGAATGTGGCAACAAAGAGCCATTGTGAAGAGTATGTTTCTGGAGTTGTAAAAGCAATAAACCTCTGCTTCCCCATCTCTTCAAAGTGCATCACAGGTGAACTGTCTGGCATGACGGACTTTGCCACTTTGGCCTGTCTTCTAAATGCGGACCATACTGTCATCATGACATGCATCACCGCAGGAGAGTTTCCCACTGAGATCTATCTGCCTAATATTCCTTTCAGCGTGGCGTTCTTTAAATTCCCATTTCCATCAGTCCCCCCGAAGAGTCGGGGACAGGGAAGTCAGCAGGACTCCAGCCTAAGAACTACTATATATTTTCCTGTCACATTTATCATTTTATTTATTGGTAACCCTTTCTGCTAGCTCTGTTGAGCAGCGTGTAGCAGAATAAGCAAATGTTCCGGTTTCAAAAACACAGGTAATGATGTGAGAATTCTATGGGATGGAGTAATGACTTTTTGATGTAAAATCCAAAATAGAAAAGGGTTAAAATCTACTGTCGGTGTATATTTTTTTTACCTGTCTGTATCCCAGTGGGGAGATTTCTCATCACTTTCTGTCATACACTACAACAGGAAATAAGATGAAATCTCACCTGTTGTCTCTGTGGGACAGTAGTCATCAGGAAAGACTTCCACATTGAAAGATTTAACCGTGACTCTTGTTCTGGCAAGGGACAGCATGATAGCTTCCATAGCCAGTGGCGTTACTGTCCTGGCATTTTAAGGACCTCGAGCAAATTGGCCTTCAGTACTTCAAAACTGAGCAATTTTCAAATATACTGTGTATACCATAGTTTGTGGATGCTATAATTTTCACACAAAACAATTGATATGTATGTATTAGGATTTCTTTTTCTTTTTACCAAAGACATAGCAGAATACATTTTGGCCTAAGTTTATGAAGCAATTTTATGTTTTGATTTTTTTTTATTGGATATGTTTTATGACATGTATGTTTTTTTTTACGTTTTCAGTCTTTTTGATTTATATAATAAAAAGATAAAAAAAAAACAGTGATGATTCAATGCCACCAAAAGAAAGCTCTATTTATGTGGAAAAGGATTATATAAATTTCATTTTTGTTCAGTGTTGCATGACTGCGCAGTTGTCAGTTAAAGAGTTCTGCCCCCCCCCCGAAAAAAAATTAAAAGTCAATTACTGTAGCAGCTGACTTTTAATATTAGGGCAATTACCTGTCCAGGCATCCAGCGATGTCCTCACCCAGGCAGATTCTTCAATTGGCTATCGGTTGCTGGTGCCGCCATCTTGACTAAGGGAAAATGGCAGCCAGTCTCTTACTGCACATGCGAAAAGCATGGTGCACTTTGTGAATGGGCCGCAGTCTTCTGGGACCTGTGAAGCGTTCCAGAAGGCTGTGTTGGAAGGGAAGGGGCAAATTTCAGGGTCAGTTCCCCGCAGCTAACTAATCTGAAGTGGGAGCGAGTATCCCCCCCCCCCCCCCCCCCCAAATGGTGCCAAATGTGGCAACTGGGGGAGAGGCAGACAAGTGGAATTTCCCCGTTAGGGGGAAACCTTACTTTAACCACTAGCCTACAGGGCACTTATACCCCTTCCTGCCCAGGCCAATTTCCAGCTTTCAGCGCTGTCACACTTTGAATGACAATTGCGCGGTCATGCTACACTGTACCCATATTAAATTTTTATTATTTTTTTGAGACAGTGCTTTCTTTTGGTGGTATTTAATCACCTCTGGGATTTTAATTTTTTCTTAAACAAACCAAAAACCACTGAAAATGTTGAAAAAAAAAAAAGTTTTTTCTTAGTTTTTGTTATACAATTTTTGTAAATAAGTGAATTTTCTCCTTCACTGATGTGCGCTAATGAGGCTGCAGTGATGGGCACTGATGGACACTGATAGGTGGCACTGATGGGCACTGATGAGGAGGCACTGGTAGGTTTCACTGATGGGCATTGACAGGCATCACTGATGGGCACTGAAAGGCAGCACTGATACATGACACTGTTAGGCGGCACTGACTGGCACTGTTAGGCGGCACTGACTTAGGCGGCACTGATTGGCAGCACTGATTGGCATTGATAGGTGGCACTGACTGGCATTGATAGGTGGCACTGACTGGCACTAATGGGTGACATTGAAAGGCAGCTCAGATGGGCACTGATATGTGGCATTGATGTGCACTGGTATGCACTGATATGTGGCATTGATGTGGCACTGATGGGCACTGGCACGTGGCACTGATGAGCACTGACAGGTGGCACTTATGGGGCCACACTGATTTTTTGTAGCAAAGACATGCAGCAGAATACATTTTGGCCTAAATTTATGACGAAATTTGCTTTTTTAATTTTTCTCTGGATGTTTTATAGCAAAAAGTCAAAATATTGTGTTTTTTTTTTTTAATTGTCGGTCTTTTTTTGTTTATAGCGCAAAAAAATAAAACATGCACAGGCAATCAAATACCACCAAACGAAAGCTCTATTTGTGAGGGGGAAAAAAAAAGGACATACATTTCACTTATGTACAACATTGTGTGACCGCGCAATTGTCAGTTAAAGTAACGCAGCGCTGTATCGCAAAAAATTGCCTGGTCAGGAAGGAGGGTAAATCCTCTGGACGGCAAGTGGTTAAAGCTGAATTCAGCTCCTTTGTAAGAAATGAAGGCACACTACGAGTTTGATCCAGCAAGTTGCATGACACCTTCTGGACTTCTCTCCATTATTTGTATCTGACTGTTTTATGGTGCTTTCGGAAGACAGCTGTCACTGTTGTTCTGGGAGAGCAACGTTGATCCTTTTGAGTTATGCATCTTGATCAGGAGAGATGATGCATCTGCTATACCCACCTCTTCTTTTGCCCAATCACAGAAACCATGGTAATATGTGAACACATTCACAAAATACAAAGGCTTCTCTGAATGGGCAGCGGAATGTAGGGGCGGGCATAGCTGATATGTGTGCCTCTCCCACAGCCCCAACTGTAGTCCCTGGCAGAGCATGAACCTGTCAGATATAAAAGAGGCAAGCCCAGGAGATGTCATGCAGCTACTTGGATTTAACTCATACTGTCATAGAACAATATAGACTTGGCAACTCAGTGCTAAAAATGGTAGAGAAGCTGGCCTCAGGGTATATAAATGTAATTGATCGCTGTGCAACTCGGGCTGGATGATTATGGAGGTGCGGCGCTTGACAGATTGGGGAATCTTGCATTGCACAAACAAAACAGGTGCAAATGCCTAATGCTTTATCATCAACACTTTATTAGAAAGGTGGAAGATAAAAATATACTTACAAACCAAAGCAGATTGGCAGCATGTCTAAAATAGAGAATCCAGAAGTACGCCCTCTGTCCTCATAGGACCAAACAGATGACCATGTTTTGGGGGACCATTCTTTACTCTGAGGAAGGAGGCCTGTCCCCCAAAAACATGTCGCTAGCACGGTCATCTGTTTTGTCGTACAAGGTTAGAGGGCTTACGTCTAGATTCTGTATTTGTGACATGCTACCAGTCTACTTTGGTTTGTGAGCATATTTGTACCATCCACCTTTCTATTAAAGTGTTGATGATAATGCACTAGGCATTTGCACCCTTCTGTTTTGGTAACTCATACTGTGCATTCACTTTTTACAATGTGGCCATATTCCTGGAATTCAGCTTTGAGTGCAGCCTTACAAAATGAAAACTAGTTACAAAGCATTAAGGAACTTTTCAGGGACTAATCTACCCATTTACCAGTTTTTCACAGGCTGATGATGGGAGTAAATTAGTCCCTGAAATGTTCTTGTATATGAAAAGCATCAGTTAACTTTAACCTGTCCCTTACAGCCCAACTCTGTATAAAACCTCCCTCCCATTCCTGTATCCCCTTCTAAGCCATACTGCCAGGCTTTTACATTTTCTTACCTGGTGAAGCAAATTATACTAACCTGAGTCCCCCCATCCAGGTCCCCCGCTGAGACTGATTTCCTCCTGTGGGGACCACTAGTCCATTGTTGCACGTTAGTCCTCACCAGCCCATTCCTTTCACCTTTTTAAATCCAACATCAAGCATCTTCTAGATCCTGAGAGGACCTTTTGGGTGGATAGCCAATGGGAGTTGTCCACGTTGCGCAAGTAGTGACATGAACACCTAGAAGAAGGATCACAGCAGGAAGCAAAGAGGGAAGAGAAGGACCTAGCATTGGATGATTATGTAACCATGGCCCAGAGGCAGACTGACCACTCATGGGGCTCCTGGGCAATAGTGGATCATGAGGCCCCTGTGTCCTTGCCCAAACTCAAAAAAGCCTATGAAAAAGGTACCAGGGGCATCTCATGGGGCCCCCTACTGACCCCGGGCCCTCAGGCAGTGCCCGAGAGTTTCCAAATGGTCAGTCCACCCCTGCTATGGCCTAAAGTAAATGAAAAGGAGGATTTTTTTTTTTTTCATTCCAGCGATCAGTGGGAAGAGGGGTACATTTTATTGCAGAGTTGGGCTGTAATCTAAACCCAAATCTAGTCCCTGAAGATGCACACTAACCTTTTCTATCACCTGAAGCTTCCTCTGTTAAACAAGATCTTGACACCAAATAACCTGCTTTTGGCTGTTGATGTATACGATGTTCTTTTACTGGCACCTCTTCTCCTGCTATATCAGGACAAGGACCCCTCTGTTATTTACAAGTCAGTGTGGAAGGTGGTGACTCCTCCATGTTACTACATGTAAGGGAGCCTATTTTTTTTTCCATTTTCCCTGAATGAGCCTCTTTAATTATATGCAAGCTGGTGACAAAGACACATAGCGCCTACATGTAGTACCCTATAGAGTTCATCACTTCAGCAATCCAGAGTTTAGGTAAATACATTTTTTTCCACCTGGATATGAAATACCTACTCCTGGATCTGTGGGAGGTGTATAGCCTAGTGGCACTGTAATTCAGTTTAATTAGGGTAGGTATGTCAGTAGGTCAGTCTCAGGACTCCTCAGCTGTCAATAGCCAGCTGGTTAAGATAATAAATGGCCCATCTGCATTGTTAAAAAGCGGACATGTCTTTTCACAGATGTAATGACCCTCCTAAGTGGCTTTGCTGCTGACTCTGCACACAGCAGCATCATCAACAATCCCAGCACAGTACAGTCACCATGGCCATGAGCTTCCAGCCAATTAACTAATATATCTGCGAAGCGAGCCAATCGGACAGCACTAATTACACCGCGGGAATCCCATCAACTGCATGGCTGCCTGTGGTGCAGAATCACCTCCAAGAATTGAGGCAAAACTCATTACGTACACCAGAGACATCTCATTTAGTGACTTGGCCTTTCGTCCGGCACACCATGCAAATAACTCTAGGAATGGTTTACATTATTTGCAAGAAGCCTCCTAAAATCACTAAGAATGCATGCACACTCCTGCACACTGTACGGCCCCCTGACACATCTTGCCGTTCATGTGCATAAATTCCTGCATTTGGATTTTTAAAGATGTATAAAATACGCAGACTCTTGTCTTGATGTGGATAAATTATAACTGCAGACTCTCTTCAAATATTTAACATGTGGGCAGCTTTTTGTGTGTTGTGGATTACTTGCTTAAACTGATATATCATAGATTGCATACATTCTAGACCCTGCACCCAGGACTGTATTTATAGATCCCGTAATACTCCCAGTACTGTGTTTAGACATTATACTGCTCTAGACATACAGTTGTGTTCAAAATAACTGCAGTCAGACATCACTAACCTGATCACTGTTTTTGGTAGAAATGATATTTCTACATGGCAAATACTTTACTAGCAGATGTAGTAGAGTAATAGAAATCCAACAGACCCAACAGTCATGACATGCATGCTGCTGATTCTGTGTAATTGAATCACTAATTGTTCAAAATAATAGCAGTGTGGAGTTCTATTAGTGAGGTCATTCATTCTTTGAAAAACAGGTGGCAATTATTGCCCTTATTTAAGGAAGGAAGGCAGCAAATGTTGTACATGCTGGTTACAGTGCATTTCTCTCTGAAATTCTGAAGAAAATGGGTCGTTCCAGACATTGTTCAGAAGAACAGCGTACCTTGATTAAAAAAATGATTGGAGAGGGGAAAACATATAAAGAAGTGCAGAAAATGATAAGCTGCTCAGCTAAAATGATCGCAAATGCTTTAAAATGGCAACCAAAACCTGAAAGACGTGGAAGAAAGCGAAAAACTACCATTCGAATGGATAGAAGAATAGCCAAAATGGCAAGGACTCAGCCAACAATCCGCTCCAGGAAGATCAAAGAAGGTGTAAAGTTCCCTGTGAGTACTGTTACAATTAGAAGACGCCTATGTGAAGCCAAGCTATCTGCAAGAAGCCCCCGCAAAGTCCCACTGTTGAAAAAAAGATGTGCTGAAGAGGTTACAATTTGCCAAAGAGCACATTGACTGGCCTAAAGAGAAATGGCGCAACATTTTGTGGACTGATGAAAGGAAGATTGTTCTTTTTGGGTCTAGTGGCCGGAGACAGTTTGTCAGACGACCCCCAAACACTGAATTCAAGCCACAGTACACTGTGAAGACAGTGAAGCATGGTGGTGCAAGCATCATGATATGGGGATGTTTCTCATACTACGGTGTTGGGCCTATTTATCGCATACCAGGGATCATGGATCAGTTTGAATACATCAGAATACTTGAAGAGGTCATGCTGCCTTATGCTGAAGAGGAAATGCCCTTGAAATGGGGTGTTCCAACAAGACAACGACCCCAAACACACCAGTAAACGTGCAACATCTTGGTTCCAGACCAACAAGATTGACGTTATGGAGTGGCCAGCCCAATCCCCGGATCTTAATCCAATAGAAAACTTGTGGGGTGACATAAAAAAAATGCAGTTTTTGAGGCAAAACCAAGAAATAGAGAAGAACTGTGGAATGTAGTCCAATCATTCTGGGCTGGAATACCTGTTCACAGGTGCCAGAAGTTGGGTGACTCCATGCAACACAGATGTACAGCAGTTCTCAGAAACAGTGCTTATACAACGAAATATTCATTAAGTGATTCAAAGGAAAGCAAAATCTTCAAACATTCTTCAGTTTATATAGTGAATGTTTGCGTATGTGAAGAAGAATACTATTTTTTTGAACAGTCTAATATTCACTTTTCTTCAATGTTTTGATTTTTTTTTAGAGGAACAACACAAATTTGATATATTTTTCTTCATGTTTTGATTTGGAATAGAATGTGTCGTGTTCCCAATGCATTTGTGTGTATGGAAATAACAGCTATTAGAAGGATTTTGAGCTTTATTC